GAAGCCAGACTCAAAAGGCTACCTGCTATATGATTCCATTTATATGACATCCTGGAAAAGGCAAAACTATATGGACAGAAAATAGATCAGTGGTTACTAGGGGATGGGGAGTTGACTACAAAGAAGAAGTATGAGGGAATTTGGGGGGATAATGAAAATATTCTATATCTCATTTGTGGCAATGGTTACATGACTATGTGCATAGAAATGTATGCTGAAAGGATTGAATTTTATCATATATAAATTATACCCCAATAAGCCTGATATACATGGGATATGTGTGTGCCAGCGTGTGTATGTGTGTGCACACACGTAAGCTGCCATGAGGGCCATTTGGCAAAGCAAGCTGGAAAAGAAGCAGAATGTGGATGTGGAGTTGGATAATTTCGCTGGTAATTTTGGAGATGACAATCTGTTTCCCTCATTGGAGAATGAGCTCCTTAAGAACAAATGATCCATGTGCAGCTCTGTTGAGCTGAGTTCAGCCAGCTCTCAGTACAGCCTAGCAGCCTGGTCTCTAATATTCCAAATTTATCCCAACCTTCTCAAGCCTCTAGCTCTCATTCTCAGTGCATGACTTGCCTCCATCTTAATGCATGTTAATGGAGCTCTCTCTACTGTGCACAACCAAACAGCTTCTCTGCTCCCATCAAAGTCAATCCTTCCACATGTACTGTGGAAGAAACTTACTTTATCAACTATCTCCATTCCCTCTCCTTTGTTCATAGCCTCTTCTCACTTCTGCACTCTTTCCCATCAGAAAGTCAAATTGGCAGATATTCATGTGTGGGGAAAGATTGGAAGTTAGGGTGGTGCTTAGGTTTCCAACTTGAGTGATTGGATGGGCTAATAACTGTTATTTGCTGAGATAGAAAACAAGAAGAGCAATCTTTCATAGGAAAGAAGTCAAGTGTAGACAGATTAAGTTTCACAATGTCAAGTTGATCTGCTGAGTGAGCAGACTCATATATGAGTTTAATGTCAGGGATGAATTAAGATTCGAAAGTCATCAGCATGCAAGTCATGGCTAAAAACCATGAGAGAAGACAAAATCACACAAGCAGAGAGCTCAGTGTGGAACCCTAGGGGACCTCAAGGTTAAGCTATTGGCAGAAAAAGAAATACTCACTAGTAGACTGAGAAGGAAACTTCTTGCAGAGAAGTAGGAAGAGGAGAGTCAGATATCAGGAGAGCAGAGAGTTTAAAGACTGAGTGAATGAGTCGTCAACAAATTCAACACATTGCACCATTGATAAAAAGCCTGGGCTCAGCATTCGTGAGGCCACAGGAAACCATTAGAGCAGACACTGCTGGTGCCTTGTACACAGCCCCTAGCCCTTACCACTTCGGCACACAGCCCGACTGACCAGGCAGAGGCTGCAGACCAGACTGGGAAAAAATACAGCTCCCAGGACTGCAGGGCTTTCTGGCTAACCCAGGCTTCTGCACAAGCATCTGCTCTGCAAAGGCACTGTGCCATAGGGACCACCATGATGTACAAAGGCCTGCTCCCACATGGGACTGTATGGCTTAGGTAGATCAAGATTCAACGGTTCAGTCACCGAAACTTATAAAAGCAATAATGCAAGTGGAAAGGCCACCAGGGCAAGAGCCTGAATGGACAGCATAGAGCTCAGCCCCTTTTCCTGGCTCTGCTAGAAAACGGTAGCTGAATTCCTGATTTTGTTTGGCTGAAGAGACCAACAGTAGATTGCCAGGGCATAACCACTGGGATGAAATTAAGTATAATATAGTCCTGCACAGGGATCTTTCCACAAGCATGTAAGAAAGAAACTCTTTCTAAGGCATGACTACAAAGTCAGTGTTTTTTACTCAGGGAAATAAAGGGAGGGCCCAGAAAAGGGGAGTGGAAGGGCTAGTTCACCCAACCCTGCATGAAGAAAGAAAGAATGCTCTATAGTTTTCTGGAAGGAGAAAATGTAGAGTCTACCTCTTCCACATCAGAACAGACAAAAGAAGGACAAGTCAAGTCATAGGAAGCATCCAAAAAAATGTCACGTCTGTGTGCCTAAAGGAGCAGGGAGGCTGTCTCTTCCTAACAGCCTCAACCTTAGCAGCTGGCCCTGATGGCTGGTATGTTGATGCACACTCGGACCTCTCGTAGTAACTGTGCGTGGGCCAGCGCTCTTCTGAAGTCAATTCTAGCTTGTCAATTATAATTGACAATCATAAAACATTTATAACTTCCCTGTTCTTTGGAGGTCTTGATAAGTCCAAACAAATTCAAACCAAAATACAAATATGAATCTTTTCTTCTATAGTTACAAAAGAAAGTAGAGTTCCTTCTTAGCTATGAGTAATGTAACGGGCATGTAGTTAATCAGCTGGTGGTGCTTGTTCTAACTTTCAGAAGCAATGTGCTGACATGCCTAGCTCAGGACCATGGGTGGTCAACAAACCACCAAACTAGGGCCTGCTTCAATTTGAGACTGAAGACTAGAGTTTTCTCTGACTCCTAGAGACCAAATCCTATAGAGAGAGTCATTTCACACCTCTCTCTCTAACAGTTATCTTTTCTGGGCTTTGATTTTTGTCATATGCTAAAGTGAGACAAGGGAATAAATAAGTGGCTGAAGGCAAGATATCAGGGAGGTAAAACCACTGGATGTGGGCTGAGGGCGGAGGCAGCCAATCTCAGGGCTGTCCTGGAAGGAACAGCAGCATCACTGCGGAATGGGTCATTCATAGCTATCATCTAAGCCTACTTCAGCTCTCTTGATTCCTAGAATTTGATGCTGTCCTATGCACATGGTCTTGGTTAATAAACTTGATAAATACATGCAGAAATAAATTGGTCTTCCAGGCTTCTTTTATGCAGGGCTTGATTTGATACCATATAAAACATACTCTGAAAGAAAGAGTCAAAGACACAGACAGCACTGCTCAATATGTCTGACTGATTGGGCCCCAAATAGCCACCTTGGTGGTTTTCAAAGAACCACAGATCCCCAGCTCTCAAAAGCAGAGCACTGAGGAACCAAGAGGCTCAGCCCAGGAAATTGTCTGTTAATCCCAAGGGCAAGGAGAGCCTTGTGAAATCCTAAAATCTTAAAGAATTGAGAGGGCAGAATAAACTAAGAAGGAGATGCCACAGTTTTCTCCTGTCAAATATGAGAATGTTACCATGCCTAATCAGGATGTTGGGAATCATACCAGTTGGTTTCTAAGATTAAATTATTCTCTGGGTTTTGAGAAGACCTATCTAAGGGAGTTATTAAGAATCCAATAGGCCTTTGTCATGAGACATTACGAATGGAGCCTTTCAGGTCCTCTGTTCCCAGATAAAGGACAAAGGCTGGAGGTACTGACAGCCTGTGGAGGCACTTCTCTGATACCCACTGAGATGAGCTAACTGAGGGAGTCAGAACCAGCCGGCACTAGGATCTCTGTTGATTAGGTGAACACAATAAGCAAGGCAGAGCCAGACAAATCTGTGGCTGAGGCAGAGTTTGCTCTCACTGTCTCCCCTCTCCTTTCCATGTCCTGCTGGAACTCCAGTTGCCCAAAGAGCCATCACTCAACTCACTGTAGATGATGGCTTTCATAGGTGACATGCCTCCATGGCACCATCGGTGACTTGCCTCTTATATAATTAATTTCTTCTGCTCTGCACATTTTCCATCTACTTCCACATACCAATCCTTACATGTCCTGGGCCCCTTTTATCCAGACTCCTGAAGAGGGACTAAGTTAATTATTAGATAATCTGGCATACAACTTCCTTTTAAAGTTTTAGTGACTGAGTAGCCTGTTACTTCCTTCACAAATTAAACTCACCCTACCTTGCATCGTTTTAATGCTTTCACTTTTGGTACCGTAAATTTGTCACCCTCCACGTTTCTTTACTACACAACACAAATAATCTGAATTATTTATATACAGATGATTTAGGTCGATGTTGCTCATTGTGCAGTCTGTGTACCGCCTATGTAACTGTACCTTGGGGGAAGAAGTGCTTGTTGAAAATGCAGAACCCCAGGCATTACTGGTAACCCAATAAATCAGATGCTCTTGGAGCATCTTTAACATGCTCCCCAGTTGATTCTTCTCCCTGCTAAATCAGTAAACATTATATGACATCTACACACAGAAATGTGCCATGTAGGTGCTGGGTATCAGAGGAGATAAGAGAATCTCAAATTTAGTCAACATCTACTACTAACTTATAAAACAAATTCATTTCCAAATATTAGAAGGACTAAAAAGTGGCAGCCCATATGTTGGGGTAGGAGATGGAGGGGAAATCTCTGCTCCTTCCCCTCAATTTTGCTATAAACCTAAAACTGTTCTAACAAATGAAATCTTAAAAAAAAAAAAAAAAAAGCTGGCCTACCTGAGATAGAGCAGGGGAACAGGTGCCCTCTGACTCTCCTTTTCTCTCTACATGGATCACTTTTCTGATATCATCTACTCATCCTAGCCTAATCTCCTCTGTAAACCCCAAAACTTCTGTGGCAGAGCCAATAAGTCTCTGCTCGAGGCTCTCCTGGTCCAATGTGCATACTGATCATGACAATATTACAGCATTTACACCCCACACTATGACCAACTACTCTCTTATTTGGACCTGGTGAATCCCAAACAACATGGCTTGTTCACTGCCATATTCCCTTCCCCCAGCACAGTACATAGAACTTTATAGGTATGCAATAACTGTTGAATAACTCAATGAGTGAATGAATGAGTGAATGGTATTGCCGCTAAGATTAACGTCAGATGAAATGTGTTGGGAGGATGGAAGGATACAAAGGATGACCATCTCCTTTTACACACACAGATATTCTGTTAGAGTCACCATTCCTCCTCTCTCTGAGGCGCAGGAGTCAAGGTAGTCATTTATTCAATCTGTCACTGTGGTCAATAATCTGAATTGATAAATTAATGACTTCCCATCCTATTAGACAAAGGAAGCAAAGGACACAGCCATCTGACGTATGCACCAATAGCATTTAGGAGGAAAACAGAAGCCACACTAGGTATTTCAACCAGAGGGGATTTAATGCAGGGACTTGATCACACAGGTTTGGTAAGACTGAAACAGGGCCACTGAGACAGCCCAATGTTAGTAAATACAGGAAGCAGCTACTAACCTTAGGGCTGGGGGAACAAAAGGGAAGAGACGGTGTTACCAGAACCTAGAAGCTTTGACGGGGGACCCCCCACGGCTGGCGCCTGGCCCTCTGCCGGGGCTGCTGCGCGGCTGTTTCTTGGCCTTCTGAGGGGGGCGCTGCTTGGCTGGTGGTGGTCGGACCTCTGGGCGGGGGCGTGGCTGACGCTCGGACCTCGGAGGGGACCGTGGCTTGGCTGGCGCTCTGACCACCGCGGGGGGCGCAGCTGGCGGTTGCTTGGGCTTCTGAGGGGACGTTGCACGGCGGCTGGGTCTGAGAGGGCCAAAAGAAGCTGGAGGCTGGAGCCGTGGCTCTCCTCTGCCGCTTACGGGACGCCGGCAGGAGCTGGAAACAGGGAGGAAGGCCCTGCGCCCCCTCCCACCTTCCAGTCTCCCTGGAGTGCCTTCCAGTGTCACAGCCTAGCCCGGAGCCGACCGTCAGGGCCGGGGAAGAGTGGCTTGCGGAGCCCCAGCCCCAGCCCAGCCCCTCAGAGCGGGCGGCGCGACCACTCACCTGGTCTTCTGGCAGGCGCAGCAGACCCAGTCCTCCTCTTGCTTCTGGTAGAAGCAGCCGCTCCTGCAGATGCTGTATTTCCGATCCACAATCTCCCGCTTGGAGTTGAGGAAGGTGAACGGCGGGCAGCAGTGTATGCTGAAGTGCTCGGAGAGCCTCTGGTTCTTGGAGAGTCTGGGACCCTCCTTCCCCGCTTTCTGACTCATCTTACTGGAAATCGCCGACGCGAGGCGGGGAGACAGGGGCAGGGACAGAAACGCACGTCAGGCGGGGGCGCTCTCTGCTCAGGGAGCCACTCCCTGCTGCTCCCATAGTCCGAATTAACATTCAGAGTGGTCCCACAGAGCGAAAGCCCAACTCTGTGGAAAAGAACTCAAGTAAGAGTTCCTTCATGTTTGTGTACTGTTGTAAATCGTGTTTTCTAAGAGAAAGAGGAACGTGGGCTCTTGTTTTCCTTATGTTTTAGACACTCATATAGTATACGAAAAAAATTACAATACCAAACATAGCCTTGGCTAAATAATCTTCTAGATTTAGGAAAGGCCTTTTCTCTGAGAAGCAAAAAATAATTTATGATTAAAACCACAATGACCATTCATATAATAAAATACTACAAGGAAAACGAACACATAGTATTGAACATACTAAGTCAGACACAAAAGAACACAAGCTGCATGATTCATTTTATATGAGGTTCAAAAAGAGGCAAAACTAATCTAAGGCGCTAGAAATCAGAGCATAGTTATATTTGGAGAAAGTGGACCTGACTAAGAAGGGGCACCGGAGAGGTTGCTGGCGGCTGAAAATGCTCCTTCTAGGAATGTGACAAATGCAGAAATAGTCCTGCCTAACACTCCAAAACACTGATGCATGCAGGGGACTTATGTGACTATTAATCAAGGGTCAGCACATATACATGGGTCATGGGCATATACTGGACACTGAGAATGTCCCTACCTCAAAAATCTCAAGGTCAGGCTGGAGACACAGACATGCAGCACGCGATTGCACCCATGTTATGCTGACCAACAGAAGTACGTGCAAAGGTCAAGGACAAAATACAGAATCCATAGATGGATTCCTTGAAGACAGAAAAATGATCTGGATTTTTAAGGATGAATACATTAAAAGCAACTAAATTCCATTGAGGGGATATTTTAATTTTTTTGTTTGTCGATGTGGTTGTCCTCTGCTTGAAATGGGAATGAGCTAGGCAGCAAGTAGAGTGCAGTTACAAATACATTTTTTTTGTACCTCCATTTGTGATAGTCCAAGTAATGTGTTACATCTGTTATGTGTGTTACAAATGTTCTTTCCCAATGTGTCACCTGCTTTTATGCAAAAAGATAGTTTTATGTAATTAAATTTCTTAGTTCTCATTCAGAGTTTTATGTTTTGCTTAGGAAGGTCTTTCCCACTCCATCATCTTTCAAACATAATCACGTATACCCCATTTTAAAAGAAAATCCTCACTGGATTCCACTCTCATATCTATTTGCCTCCCTATTACCCTTCTCCTTTCTATAGGCAAAGTTCTTGAAAAATTATCAGTATGTTTTTTCTCCATTTCTGCTCTCCCACTCACTCCTCAGTGCATTCCACTCTGGCTCCTGTTCCTTTCCTTCCAAGGAAAAATGGCTCTCCGTATCTCCCCAAAGACCTCCATGCTGCTAAATCAGTCCTCTTCTTATTTGGTCCCTCTCTCCAGCTAAACTCTTCCCTCTCCTGTGACACCACATTCTGCTAGATTTCCTCCTCCATCTCTAGCCCCTCCTTCTCAATTTCTTTCATATGCTCATCTGCTTTAGCCAAAACTTTTATTTGTTTTTTATCCAAAACTTTTAATGTTAGGGTTCTTCAAGGTACACTAAATACTAAATGATTAATGGAGTTATTCTCACCCATTTAATTCGGCATTTATTATATAGTTAGGTTGTGCCAGGCACAGTGTTCCATTGATATAATGGACACAAGCAGAATCATGCTTAGCCCAGTCCTGAAGAAACTTACCCACCAGCTGGAGAAACAGGCAAGTACGTGACTAGAATGCACATAGTGTGCTAATGGCCACAAAGCTCATTTATTGAGCTCAGATATGTACAAGTCACTGAGGTGAGTAAGGTGATGGATCAGATAAACATCCTGCTCACAATGAACTCACCTTGTAGGGAGAAGAATGTTACGCAGACGTCAGTAAGTACAATACAAGGGCAGTGTGCTCTGGAACATGAAAATGTGCTGGTAAAATGGTATGGGAATTTCGTAAGAGAGGGGGCACTATGTTGGGCTACAGCACCAGGTAACACTGCATGGGCAGAAACTTTTCATCTGGCCCTAAGATGTGGCCAGCCAGAGATAAGGGATGTGGAGGGACAGGAATGGCTTGTACCTAAGCACAGATACCAGGGGTGAATTACAGTATCCCCGAGAGCCCTCACCTTGTCTGCAGTGCACTGTCAGAGAAGGAACGGTGCCAGGATACCGGTGATGCGGTGAGACGGGAGTTACCTGTCACTGGGAAGTGTCTAGCCCTAGTGACTGCGAACACAGCCAAGCCACCAGCTGATCAGAGGTCTAAATAGGTGAGAGGGAGGGAGATGTGGGACACTATGAGTTTAGGGTGCCCAGGACATCTACGAGAAAAAAGGCATCCAAAACTCAGGAGCTACAACTGTCATGTTGAGCATTTCTCACCTCATGGGAAGAGGCACAACCCTGGCCATGGATGAGATGCCTGTGAGCTGAGTGAGAAGCCAGACCAGGGAAGGCTCCCAGGAGGAGTAGTGGGCCCACCTTCAAGCTGCAGCAGCCAAGGAGGAAGGTGAAGCAGGGCTATGTAGAGAGGTAGGACAGGTGGCAGCCTCTTGGAAGAAATATGTCAAATTTTCAGAGGAAGACATGATCAGCAATAGCCCAAGAAGCCCTTTATCCAAACAGACATTATAGAACAATGAGAAAGTACAGCTGACTTACGGGGTCTGATTCATGACAAAGACCCTAAGATCTGCCAAGCTCTTCCCCCAATCCTACACATGTCACGAAGTTCAGCTCGTGTTTCTCCTCCCGTGGGAAATAATGAAATGCAATGCTTCAGGACTACCCTGCAAGAGTAATCTCTCCAGGTGCCCGGCACATGAAGACTATGTTACTCAGCTTCTCACAAGCAACCGAGGCATCCTCAATCCCTCCAGCCTTATGGGTCATCTTTTCCCAAATGGGTCAGACACCCATCCACAAATAACAGAAAATCTAGCACTTGCCCCACCTTTCTAAGAAATAGCAGGCTTGGGGTAAGAGGGAGATTTTAAGTCCGCTGTGACTCTGACTTCCTTCTCTGACCAAATTCTCAATTCCCATCCCCTGTTCCAGCTGACGTGATCCCAGGGCCCACTCTATGCCCATCTGGACCCCCACCCAGCCATCTCTTCCCTCAGCAGGTCAGGGGAAGGTTCTCAGTTTCCTATTCCACGACAACTTCCCTCCCTCCCCGCCTTCCCCACCACGTCCGGCAGGGGGCAGCCTCACCTCTTGCTATCCGTCAATGCCTGAGGGAAAACGCAATTCTCTTCCCTGGAAGAACCCTGTCATTGTCCTATAGCAACCACCTGAAAATTCATCCAGCTTTTAAAATAATATTTTCTCCTTCCTTAGTGAAATGTTTATATGCTTTGGAAAGACTCTGGCCTACTAACTCTTTCCCCCAGTAGCAGAAATACAGCATTTAACTGGGATACATGGTTAATTGTCTGTATTTATTGCCCCCCCAACTCTGCCCGACACCACCCCCAATTTAGGAATGCTAAGCCCCACCTGCTAAGCAATAGCAATATACACAAGAGTCACCCTTTCCCAACACACCAGGATTATTGTAAATTAAGTGGAAATACAAGGCTGTTAAATTAAATTTAGCCTAAAGCTGCCTCCTTTCATATTTTAAGTTTGGCCTACAGGTTTCTCTGTACATAGTGAACTGTAACATAACTAGATGTGTAAACAGACTGTAACCCACTCTTATACCGATCACAGGTGGCCAACTGTTCAAGCCGTGTTCAAATAAGGTGAATGCCAAGCTGTAACCAAGCCAGCGGCTCTGTGCCTCACTTCCAGTTAATGTCCATCCCTTTGCTTTTCTGTGCATAAATATTATCTGACCACTGGCAACCCTGAAGTCACTCTGAACCTATTCTAGTTCTTGTGGCTGCCCGATTCTCGGATCATTCTTTACTCAATTGAACTCTGTTAAATTTAATTTGCCTCAAGTTTTTCTTTTAACAAAGCAAATAACTAACAGCAGACAAAAGAAGTAACGTTTACTGAGCACCTACTATATGGTGGTTGTTATACATACTTTATCTCATCTTTATAGTATGGAATTATGATCGATAAAGATGAGAGAGTCTAAGGAACATGACCAAGTTCACAAAGCCAGTGAGAGGCAACAGGGGATTTGAACCCACATCTGTGTGACCCCAACATCCCAAGCTCTTTAACCAGGTCCAACACTACTTTGTACTTCCCATGTACTCAACGTTCCTCTCCTAGAAACAGCAGTCCAGGCGCTGGGCCCAGACTGGACTTCGGGGGACTAGAGATGGGCCCAGGGATGCGATGAGGCTGCATAGACTTGTGGGTCTGTGTCCTAGAGTGAAAAAGACTGAAAGTTGAAAATTTATCTCTCCAGAAGAAAACGGTAGAGGGTGGTGTTTGGAGATGTCACAACAATATGGTGGCCAGGGCGTCCCTGCCAGAGCAAGAAGGCCCACCATGGAGAACCAGAATGTTAACGTGGGATGGGTCCTGAGGGAGTGTGACTTATTGCAGCTCCTGCCCCTCCAGTCCTTTAGTAGATTTAAAATCTATATTTGCTGTTGAAAATTAGAAAACTCAGATGGAT